CACCTTGGCCTCCCACAGTGCTGGGATTACAGTTGTGAGCCACTGCACCCGGCCTATTCATTTATTTTTTTGAGACAGAATCTTGCTCCGTTGCCAAGGCTGGAGTGCAGTTATATGATCTTGGCTCACTGGAGCCTCCTCCTCCAATATTCAAGGGATTCTCCTGCCTCAGCCTCCCAAGTAGCTGGGAGTTCAGAGGCCAGCCAACATACATGGATACTTTTTAAAATGTTTTTAGTTTAGACAGGGTTTCACTATGTTGGCCAGGCTGGTCTCGAACTCCTGACCTTGTGATCCACCCACGTCGACCTCCCCAAGTGCTGGGATTACAGGAGTGAGTCACTCTGCCTGGCCGAAGATTGAGGTTTCTAGAGATTCAGACTCCATACATCAGTGCTTCCTGGAAAGTCCTCTTTCTCTTTTTCTTTTATATTTATATGTATATATATTTACTTAAGTATGCTTTTTTTTTTTTTTTTTTTTTGAGACGGAGTTTCGCTTTTGTACCCAGGCTGGAGTGCAATGGTGCAATCTTGGCTCACCGCAGCCTCCGCCTCCTGGGTTCAGGTAATTCTCCTGCCTCAGCCTCCTGAGTAGCTGGGATTACAGGCATGTGCCACCATGCCCAGCTAATTTTTTGTATTTTTAGTAGAGACGGGGTTTCACCATGTTGACCAGGATGGTCTTGATCTCTTGACCTCGTGATCCACCCGCCTCAGCCTCCCAAAGTGCTGGGATTACAGGCGTGAGCCACTGCGCCCAGCCCAAGTATGCTTTTTTTTAATTTTTGTTTTTGTTTTAGAGATGAAGTCTCACCACATTGCCCAGGCTGGTCTTGAACACCCTGTCCTCCTGCCTCAGCCTCCCAAAGTGCTGGGATTACAGGTGTGAGCCACCATGCCTGGCCAGGCCTCGTGTTTTCATCTTGCAGTGATCCCTGCAAAATCTATAGCCAGTCCTGTGTGAAATACAGCAGAGTCCAAGACAGACAAAAATCGCTGTCCCTAAGGAGGCAGCTTTCTAAGGGAGAGATCAAGAGGAAACAAGCTGGATGTGGTGGCTCATGCCTGTAATCCAGCACTTTAGGTGGTCGAGGTGGGAGGATCACTTGAGCCCAGGAGTTTGAGACCAGCCTGGGCAACATAGCAAGACCCTGTCTTTTGAAAAAAAAATTCAAAAATTAGTTGTATGGTGGTGTGTGCCTGTGGTCCCAGTTACTCAGGAGGCTGAGGTGGGAGGATCACTTGAGCCCAGGAGGTCTAGGCTGCAGTGAACTGTGATGGCACCACTGCACTCCAACCTAGGCGACTGAGCAAGACCCTGCCCCCAAATAAATAAATAAATAAATAAAAGTAAAAATAAAAAATAAGAGTAAACAGAATATTTTTAAAAGATAACGTAGTATCTTAGGTGGTGATAAGAGCAATGAAGGAGGCCCAGCGTGAGCCAGCCTGGCCAACGTGGCAGAACCCCGTCTCTGTTACAAAATACAAAGATTAGTTGGGTGTGGTGGCGGGCACCTGTAATCACAGTTACTTGGGAGCCTGAGGCAGGAGAATCGCTTGAATCCAGGAGGCAGGGGTTGCATTGAGCCAAGATTCCTCCTTAGCATTACAGCCTGGGTGACAGAGTAAGACACTGTTTCAGGAAAAAACAAAACAAAACAAAAAAACCCTGACAGAAAAATACAGCCTAAGAAAGGACTGTGAGAGAAGGGCTCTTGGAAGGGGCATCTTCAAGCATGGACAGCAGTAAATAAAGCAGCCATGTGCACAGCGGGCAGGTGCTCCAGGCAGAAGGAGCTGCAGGGGCCAAGGCTCAGAGGTGGTACCCTCGGAGGGAGGTGGTACCCTTCAGCTGTCTGAAGAACAAGGAGGCCGCTGTGGCAGCAAGAGTTGCGGCAAGGAGAATGTAAAGGGAGGTGATGGCGGGTGAGGTGGCTCGTGCCTGTAATCCCAGCACTTTGGGAGGCTGAGGTGGGCAGATTGCCTGAGGTCAGGAGTTCAAACCAGCCTGGCCAACATGGTGAAAACCCACATGGTGGTGAGTTCCTCTAATCCCAGCTACTGAGGAACCTGAGGCAGGAGAATCGCTTGAACCCAGGAGGCGGAGGTTGCAGTGAGTCAGTTGAGGTTGCACCACTGCACCCCAGCCTCGGCTCTGCCATTGCAGCCTGAGAGTAGCCTTTGACTATATATTTTTTCTTTTTTTTTTCATACCGTGCATGTGGCATCCAAACATCTATAAATGAATGGGCAGGACTTGGCCCCAATAAAAAACTTTATTTATAGACACTGAGATGTGATTTTTTTTATTTTTTGAGATGGAGTGTGGCTCTGTTGGCCAGGTTGGAGTGCAGTGGTGCAATCTCGGCTCACTGCAACCTCCAGGTTCAAGCAATTCTCTTGCCTCAGCTTCCCGAGTAGCTGCGGTTACAGGCGTGCACCACCACGGCCAGCTAATTTTTGTATTTCTAGTAGAGACAGTTTCACTGTGTTGCCAGGCGAGTCTCAAACTCCTGACCTCAGGCGATCAGCCACCGTGGCCTCCCAAAGTGCTGGGATTGTAGGCGTGAGCCACTGCACCTAGCCAGAAATGTGAATTTCGTATCATTTTTCACGTGTCAGGAAGGATGACTCTTACTTTGCTTTTTCTGCCCCAGCAACTCACACGTGTAAATACCATTCTCTACGGAAACAGGCAGTGGGCAGGATCTGGGCTGCCATGAGCAGTTTGCATTTTAAGCTGAGTGAGGTCTCTGGAGGGTTTTGTGCAGCAGAGAGGAGATCCAATGCAGGGTTTAGGAAGCTACCTCTGGCGGCTGACGGAGAAGGGACAAGGCGACAAGGTCAGAGGATGGAGACCAGGAAGGATGTGTCCCGGAGGAGGAACCTGCAGTGATGGGGTTGGACTAAGATGGTGGCCGTGGAAGGGGTGAGAAGGCGCAGACCACAACACAGTGTGCCAGCAGTAGGCTTGGCTGGTGGACAAATGTGGGGCCAGAGAGAGGTGTCGGGGTGATACCGGGGCTTGGGTGAAGCCTGGAGGGTTGGTAGTATCCGCGGTATACCTCAGGGGGCTCCGAGGGGTATTTGCTCTGATCTTTTTTTCTTTTTCTTTTTGAGGTGGAGTCTCGCTCTGTCGCCCAGGCTGGAGTGCGATCTCGGCTCACGGCAACCTCCACCTCCTGGGTTCAAGTGATTCTCCTGCCTCAGCCTCCCGAGGAGCTGAAACTACAGGCGCGCACCACTGTGCCAAGCTACTTTTTGTATTTTTAGTAGAGACAGGGTTTCACCATATTGTCCAGGCTGGTCTCAAACTCCTGACCTTGTGATCCACCCCCCTCGGCCTCCCACATTGCTGGAATTACAGGCGTGAGCTACCATGCCCGGCTTTTTTTTTTCTTTTTTTGATACAGATTCTCACTCTGCCACCCAGGCTGGAGTGCAATGGTGGCACAACTTTGGCTCACTGCAACCTCTGCCTCCTGGGTTCAAGTGATTCTCCTGCCTCAGCGTCCTGAGTAGCTGGGATTATAGGTGTGTACCACCACGCCTGGCTAATTTTTTGTATTTTAGTAGAGACATGGTTTCTCCATGTTGCCCAGGCTGATCGTGAACTCTTGACCTCAGGCGATCTACTTGCCTCAGCCTCCCAAAGTGCTGGGATTACAGGCGTGAGCCACCGCACTCAGCCATTTGCTCTGATCTTGTGTGGCATCCAGGAGGACGGGTGGAGGAGACAGTTACAATTGGAATTCGAAGCCCTGAGCTGGGAGATCCATTTCAGTGTCTTCTCTGGAAGGAAGCTCAGAGGGTTCCCCACCCTCAAGGGTGAAAGGAGAGAGGAGTTCCAAGGACACCATCCTTCCCAAATGCCTGTCACTTTCCATTTTCCTGCCTTCGTTCCCACTCTTCCCTCCTCTTGTCCAAAGGTGTCTAAGGGGGCTCAGTGCAGTGGCTATCGGTTAGCTCCAGGTTACGCCCGTAATCCCAGCACTTTGCAGGCTGAGGCAGGCAGATCACGAGGTCAGAGTTCAAGACCAGCCTGACCAACATGACCTCATCTCTACTAAAAATACAAAAATTCTTCATGTGTAGTGGTGGATACCTGTAATCCCAGCTACTCGGGAGGCTGAGGCAGGAGAATCGCTTGAGCCCAGGAGGCGGAGGTTGCAGTGAGTGGAGATCGTGCCACTCCAAGCGGGGCGACAGACCGAGAGTCTGTCTCAAAAAAATTAAAAAGCGGTCTAAGAAGCATCATAGACCACACCGACATGTGAATGCTCAATGCTCACCCAGCCCTAAGCCAGTGGTCAGTGTGTCAGTGGAGGGGCACTTGCCAATGTTGGGACAGCTGTGGTTGTCACAACTTGGAGGTGCCCCTGGCGTGGAGTGGGTGGAGGCCAGGGGCGCTGCTCAGCACCCTGCAGTACCCAGGATGGCCCCACCCCAGAAAAAGATCTGGCCTCAGATGTCCACAGTGCCTCCGTGGTGCCTGTCCCATTATCTTATCTCATTTAACAGTTGAGAAATTGAGAGGGAGAATTTCAGAGAGGGAAAGCCATTAGTTCAAGGTCACACAGCAAGGTTGACATAACCAAACTGAATTCAAGCCTCTGTCACCAGTCTGCTGGGTCGTTGCTCTTAAATTCTGGCTCTGGAAGACCTCTTTTTTTGTTTGTTTTTCTTTTGTTTGTTTTGTTTTTGCAATGGTGTCTCCCTCTGTCACCCAGGCTGGAGTGCAGTGGCACAGTCTTGGCTTCCTGAAACTTCTGCCTCCTGGGTTCAAGCGATCTCTTGCCTCGGCCTCCCAAGTAGCTGAGTTTACAGGTGCCCACCACCACACTGGACTAATTTTTGCATTTTTAGGGCTAATTTTGCATTGTAGAGATGGGGTTCTGCCATGTTTGGCCAGGCTGGTCTCAAACTCCTGTTCTCAGGTGACCCGCCCTCCTCAGCCTCCCAAAGTGCATTACAGGCTTGAGCCACTGTGCCTGGCCTCCAGAGCTCCTTCTAAAATGCCAACCACCTGCAAGGGTCTTGGCTGTGCTCCTGGAGTCTCCAGGCCTGTGAATGGTGCGTGGCATCCAGTAGGCACTCAATAAATGTTGACTGCATGAAGGAGCATCTCCCCCAAGTGTTCATCTGATGCATGTTCGTGGAGCACCTGCCATGGGCCAGGCACTGAGGATGCTGCAGTGACCAAGAGGAACCCAAGGCCCCTCCTTAGGAGGAGCTGTGGGTCCCGAGAGTGGCGGAAATGGACCAGAAATGGCTAGAGAATGTCAGAGCTGCGCCGGGGCCAGCTGGCTCTTTCAGTGATGAGCCAGTCACGGTTTTATTGTGCGCTTACTGTATGCCAGGCACTGGTTGGCTGAGTGCTGCGCAGGTAGTACTTCAGCTTCCTCCTGGTAACATCCGCTGTTATGAAACCCATTTTGCATAGGAGGAAGGTGAAGCCCGAAACAGGTAAGTGTTGGCCCAGTCCTATAGGTAGGAAAGGCAGGGATGGGGCGGGGCTGGATTCAAATTCAGGTGTGTAGGACTGCGGAGCCCCATTGGCTAGGAATGAATAAATAAGTGATTGAATGATGAATGGGTGAGCCAATGAATGAATGAAGAAGATGGCATGCCCAAGAATGAGCCAAACGAATGTAGGAATGAATGAATGGTAAGCCAACGAAGGAATGAGTTAGTGGTGAACAAATGAATGAATGAACAAATTAGTGAGTGAATGAATGCATGAAAGAAGGAAATAATGGTGCGGGAATGAATACATGGGTGATTCAATGAATGAACGAATGAACAAATGGGTGAGCCAATGAGTAAATGAATGGGTGAGCGAATAAACAAACGGGTGAACGAATGAATGAATGGGTGAACGAATGAATGGGGCGACCAATGAAAGGGTGAGTGGCTAGAGCTCTGCCGGCCACGTGGCGGTGCGAGGCTGCGGACGTCGTGGGCCGGGAGGCACCTGCGCGCCCTTGGCGGACTGGGAGGAGGCTGAGATGGACGCCCGCGGGTCCCCTGGAGATGCAGCTGGCTGCCTGCGTGGGTGAGGGAGCCGGGCCCCCGGCGCCGCGTCCTCATCCTCCTCCGGGCGACAAGGTCAGGTGGGGTCGAGGCGGCGCCCCCTCCCTCAGGGCCCAGCCCCCTCCCTGGGTCTCCCCACTCCATCCCGTGGGGGAGGGGGCTAGCGAGGGGGACGAGGGGGAAGGGGTGGCACCAGGGAGGGCGGGACCGGGCTGAGGGGGCGGGGAGCTCCGGCAACGCCCAGTCCCGCCCTTCGGCCTCTCCCCGCGGTCCCTCCAGCCCCTCCGACCGCCACCTCCTCCTGGAACCCCGTGCACCCTCCGCGCCCCGTGCCCCAGACGCCATGAAGCAGCTGTGTCTGTGCGCAGCCTCCTCCTTCGCGGTAGGGTCCGGGAAGGGGGCGCGGGAGCGGGCGGGGCGCGGGTCCCTCCTCTCCCTTCCGCTCTCCTTCCCTCCCCTCCCAGTCCCTGGCTGGCCTGGACCCCCCATTCCAGACCCGGGAGAGATGGGCAGGGGAGGATGGAAGAAACATTTGGACACGTTTTGGAAGACAGTTTGAAACAGATGGGGACATTTAGGAGAATTTAGAGGGCATTGGGGGTACAGTTTTGAGAAATCATTTGGAGACAGACGGGGTCATTGAGGGGACAACTTGGAGGCTATTTTAGGAGAGCCGTTTTTGGGAAGAGGTAATGAGATTTGCAGAACAGTTTGGGAGAACATTTGAGGGATGTTTTTGGAGGATATTTTTGGGACCTGACGGGATCATGGGGAAGGATGCTTTTTGAGAACACTTCAGGAATTTGGGGGAGACATTTTGTAATGCATTTCAGGCTCTAGTTTTTGGCGGAGAAGCCTCGGGATGTTTAGGGGACAGTGGTGGCATTTCAGGGCAGTTGTGGATAAACAGGGCAGAGGGTGGTTCTGAGAGACATGTAGAGGGATCTTTTGGGGTTTCCGATGGGACTTAGGAGGGTAGTTTGGAAAAGACTCATGGATCTGTTTGCTGGGGGTGGTGTTGCAGGGGTGGCTTTCACTAAATAACGAATTGGGGAACAACTTTTCTTTTTCTTTTTTTGTCTCCTCAGTTACAAGCAAAGGGGAACAACTTTTTTTGTTGAACAAAGGGGGTCTTGCTGTGTTGCCCAGGCTGGTCTCAAAATTCCTGGTCTCAAATGGTCCTCTCACCTCAGCTTCCCAAGCAGCTACAGGCATGAACCACCATGCCCTGATGATTTTTTATTTTTTTATTTTTTGTAGAGACAGGGTCCCACTGTGTTGCCCAAGCTGGTCTCAAATTCCTGGGCTCAAGCGATCCTCCCACCTTGGCCTCCCCAAGTGCTGGAATTACAGGCGTGAGCCTCCGCACCCAGCCCAGGGAACAAAGTTTTGAAATCGATGCTTGGGGTGGGTAGTGGGAGGGCTGCTCAGGGGATGATGCTGGTGGTGGACTTTTGTTGGACAACTGGGGTGATGGGCCTGGGGGTCGTAGGATTGGGGGACACTATCTGAGGACCCCCCCGCCCAGGACCACCTCCCCCTGCAGCTTCGGCTCAGCCCCACTGACCTCGGCTCCTGCCCGCCCTGTGGCCCCTGCCCCATCCCGAAGCCGGCAGCCAGAGGCAGGTGCCAGGCAAGTGCCCAGGGGCGGGCGGTGAGAGCCTGGGGCCCATGCCAGGGGGCGTAGGGAGGGGGCAGCAGCCAACCCTGCCCCATGCACCCCTGTGTATACCCTGCAGAGTCAAGACTGGGGCAAGAGTGACGAGAGGCTGCTACAAGCCGTGGAGAACAACGATGCACCTCGGGTGGCCACCCTCATCGCCCGCAAGGGACTGGTGCCCACAAAGCTAGACCCGGAGGGCAAGTCTGCGTGAGTGCCCTCGACCTGGGAGTGGGATGGCTGAGGGGTGGCGACCCTGCAGCTGAACCCTCATCTCTCACCTCCAGGTTCCACCTGGCTGCCATGCGGGGTGCGGCCAGCTGTCTGGAGGTGATGATAGCTCATGGCACCAATGTCATGAGCACGGACGGGGCAGGTACTGCCAGCCTGGCCCTGGGGAGGGAGGAGAAACTCAGCCCAGGTGCCCAGTGAGAGGGTCCCACAAGGTCCTGCTTCCAGACCTCAATGTTCCCTGCTGAAAAGTGGGGGCTCCCTCCAATGCCCCTCCCTTGCCTCCAGGGAGAAACCCAGGGGCATGTTAGAGCAGGGTACCCAAAGACAGAGACTGTGGTTGGCACTGAGCAAAGCAAATGGACAGCTTGTGGATGGAGAGTGACTAGGATTCAGGTATTGGTTCAGTTGGATGGGGAAGTAGCCTGGGCTTGGGGGATAGCTGCAGAGTTTTGGGGGTTTTGTTGTTTTGTTTTTCTTTTTTTGGGGGGGACAGGATCTCCCTCTGTCACCCAGGCTTGAGTATAGTGGGTGTGATCTCGGCTCACTGCAACCTCCACTTCCTAGGTTCAAGCGATCCTCCCACCTCAGCCTCCCAAGTAGCTGGGACTACAGGCACACACCACGACGCCCAGTTAATTTTTGTATTCTTATGAGAGAGGGGGTCTTCCTGTGTTGTGCAGGCTAGTCTTGAAGTCCTGGGATCAAGTGATACTTCCACTCAGCCTCCCAAAGTGCTGAGATTATAGGTGTAAGCCGCCATGCCCAGCCTGGGGAAGTTTCTAGAAAGTGACTGAGGCAGAGGAAGAACCTGGGGCTTGGGAGATAACTGGGACTGTTGGACAAACTAAGTCTTGAGGTGCATCTGGGATGTGGAAGTATCTGAGCTCAAGGAAGTGACTGAAGGAAGCTACTTAGAGTTTGGAGGAGAAACGAGATTCCTGGGAGTAGCTGAGCTTGCAGCGTATCTGGGGCATGAGAATAACAAGCAGTGTTTGGGGAATATCTGAGATACAGGGGAGAGCTGGGATCTAGGAGCAGCTGGAGCTCCGGGAGCAGCTGGAGCTCTGGGAGTAGCTTGAGCTCTTGGAATATCTGGGGTACAAGGAGAACCTGGGTGCATGGCTTAACTGGGGACCTGGGGGAATAATTGAGATAAAAATGTGCAGCCAAAGGAGTAGTTGGGGCTCAGGAGGCAACTAGGCATGGGGACACAGTCACACCTGAAGCTTTAGGGCCACAGGCCTAGTGGGCAGGGTAGATGTTTGAGTAGCTGGGGAATCGCAGATCACCAGAGTTGACAGAGAAGAGCAAGGGTACGTGGATTGGCAAGAACATACACAGCAGCTGTGGGTTGTCCAGGGCAGAGCTGCAGCTTTGGCGGAGCTGACCCTGTAGAGTGTCTGGGGACATGGGGAGTAGCTGAAGCAATAGGGCTTGAGGAATAGGTGGGTGTGGAGTGTCGCTGAGGTGGAATTGTCTGGAATACAGACTAACCATGGGTTGAAGAGTCTCTGGGCACAGGGAGTAGCGTTATTTTGAGACGTACCTGAGGGCTGGGCTTCGTGGCTCATGCCTGTAATCCCAGCACTTTGGGAGGCTGAGGTGGGAGGATCACTTGAGTCAGGGAGTTCAAGATCAGCTTGGGCAACATAGCAAGACCCCATCTCTACAGAAAATACAAATACATTAGCCAGACATGGTGGCTCTTGCCTGTAATCCCAGCCGCTTGGGTGGCTGAGACAGAATCGTTTGAGTCTAGGTGTTCAAGCCTGCAGTGAGCTATGATCACACTGCCTGGGTGACAGAGCAAGGTCCTGTCTGCAGGGGAAAAAAAGAGAGAGAAGTACTGGGGTTTGGGACTTTGCTAGACTCAGAATCTCATCACAAATAGTTGGCATGGCATAGGGAGGGAGCAACTGGGAGCTACTTGTATAGCTGGAGCTCCAGTAAATCTTCTCTCCTTCCTCAGGTTACAATGCACTCCACCTGGCCGCCAAATACGGGCACCCACAGTGCTTGAAGCAACTACTGCAGGTCATTTACTTTCTCGTCTCAGCTATTCCCTGAACCCCAGATACGCCCTTGATCCCTACTAATCCTGAGTTCCAGCAATTCCTTGAACCCCCAGATGCTCTATGACTCCTAGATATTCCTTGGCCCCTTTTCCTCCAGAATCCCAGCTACTCCCTGGATAACCAGATACTCTCAGAGCATCCAGATGCTTCTCCCACTTAAGATACACTCCCGACACCAGATACTTCCTGAGCTCTGTTTCTCCCTAAGTCCTAGGTCCTTTCTTAGCCCCAGCCACTCTCAGAGTTCCCAGCTATGCCCCAAACTCTCAGATGCTTCTCAGCTCCCAGCTATTTTCTTTTCCCACCAATTTTCATGAAAATGGAGTCACCTGGGGGCCTGGGAAGGGTGAGGTAGAGAGGCTGAAGGATAGCAGAGCCCAGGGTGGGGAAGGCAGTCCTAGAGAATCAGACAGCAAGAAGGATGGCTCCGCCTCAAAGGACTCCCCCCATCCCCAGGCCTCCTGTGTGGTGGACGTCGTGGATAGCAGCGGCTGGACGGCCCTACACCATGCAGGTAGGTGCAGCCCGGCCCTGCCCTGACCCCATAGCCCAGAGGGTGCTAGACTTGGGGGTTATTCTACCCCGGGCCCTGGGGACCCGCTGTGAAGCTTCCTGTCCCCTGTTTTTCCTTTTTCTTTTCTTTGCTTTTCTGTCTTTTTTATTTATTTATTTATTTTTTTATTTTTTCTTTTTTTGACGCAGAGTCTCACTCTGTTGTTGCACAGGCTGGAATGCAGTGGCACAGTCTTGGCTCACTGCAACCTCTGCCTCCTAGGTTCAAGCAATTTTCCTTCCTCATCCTCTCTAGTAGCTGGGACTACAGGCACCTGCCACCACGACCAGCTAATTTTGTATTTCTAATAGAGATGGGGTTTCTTTTTTTTTTTTTTTTTGAGACGGAGTTTCGCTCTTGTTACCCAGGCTGGAGTGCAATGGCGCGATCTCGGCTCACCGCAACCTCCGCCTCCTGGGTTCAGGCAATTCTCCTGCCTCAGCCTCCTGAGTAGCTGGGATTACAGGCACGTGCCACCATGCCCAGCTAATTTTTTGTATTTTTAGTAGAGACGGGGTTTCACCATGTTGACCAGGATGGTCTCGATCTCTCAACCTCGTGATCCACCCGCCTCGGCCTCCTAAAGTGCTGGGATTACAGGCTTGAGCCACCGCGCCCGGCCGAGATGGGGTTTCTTCATGTTGGTCAGGCTGGTTTCAAACTGCTGACCTCAGGTGATTCACCCGCCTTGGCCTCCCAAAGTACTGGGATTACAGGCATGAAGCCTTGCCCAGCTTTTTCTTCTTCTTTTTTTTTTTTTTTACACCACATCCAGCCTTTTTTTTTTTTTTTTTTTTTTGAGAGAGGGTCTTGCTGTGTTGCCTAGGCTGGAGTGTGTTAGTGCAATCTCGGATCAGAGCAACCTCGACCTCCTGAATTCAAGCAGTTCTCCTGCCTCAGCCTCATGAGTAGCTGGGATTACAGGCGCACGCCACCATGTCCAGCTAATTTTTTTGTATTTTTAGTAGAGATGGAGTTTCACTGTGTTCGTCAGACTGGTCTCAAACTCGTGACCTCAGGCAATTCACCTGCCTCCTAAAGTACTGAGGTTACAAGTGTGAGCCACAGCCCCTGGCCCTTCTCCTCCTTTTTTATTACCTACAATGTGCCAGGCACTAGAACCCATCTTAAATCCCAGTTACCCTTTGAACCACAGACTATTAGCCCATTGCACAGATGAGGCTTAACAAGGTGTCACTTGTCCACAGCAGATAGTGAATCCAGGTTGTCTGACCTCAAGGAGCAGCCGATTGTACTCCTGGTCTTTGTGACAATGGGGACAGGCCCCTAGGGTTTAATTTTCTTTGAAGAGCTCCTAGGAGATATCAGGAAAATCATAGCTCCAGGCCTCTGGCACCTTCATCACCAAATCCAAACTCCTTCCCCAAGGAAGGGAAAGGGACCCACCCACTTGAGCCAAAACCCAGCCCCCAATCTGTCCGCTGTGCCCGTGAAATTCAGGTATCGCTTTCACTGATGACTCAAGAAACATCTGTTCTTTTGGAAACTCAGAATAAAATTGGGCTTCTTTTGGGGTTTTAGTCGCTGGGTAAGAATTCCCTGCAGTTGGAGTACGCTGCCACCTAGTGGCGGCAATGCCTCTAGTCAGTATATAGGAGCTCATTGGTTGTCGCTCAGCAGTATTGAGCACTTTGGGAGGTCAAGGCGGGTGAATTACTTGAGGTCAGGCGTTCGAGACCAGCCTGGCCAACATGGTGAAAGCCCATCTCTACTACTAATAAAAAGTTAGCCGGGCATGGTGGCACGTGCCTGTAATCCCAGCTACTCAGGAGGCTGAGGCAGGAGAATCGCTTGAACCTGAAAAATGGAGATTGCAGTGAGCCGAGATTGTGCCACCGCACTGCAGCATGGGTGACAGAGAGAGACTCCATTTCAAAAACCAAAACCAAAACCAGTTATTGAGTACCTGCTGTGTGTCAGGCACTGTTCTACGTGTTGTAGGTAAGGTTTGCAGCAATCAGAACCTCATCATCCCTCAGGCACACAGCAAGTATTCAGAGTTTGTCGACTGAAAAATGGATTCTTGTGCTTAATCTGACTGTACGTCAACCTGCTGGAATTAATCCCCAGGGATTCCAGAGACTGTGCCCTTGTCTCAGCCACACAGCCTCCTGGGGAGCCTCCCTGTCCACTCTGGTCCTGTGCAAATGGCAGTAGAAGGGAATCTCTTGGCAAGGTGCGGTGGCTCACGCCCATAATCTCAGCACTTTGGGGCCAGGCACAGTGGCTCACGCCTGTAAATCCCAGCACTTTGGGAGGCTGAGGCGGGTGGATCACAAGGTCAAAAGATCAAGACCATCCTGGCCAACATGGTGAAACCCTGTCTCTACTAAAAATACAAAAATTAGCCAGGCCTGGTGGCATGTGCCTGGAGTCCCAACTACTCGGGAGGCTGAGGCAGGAGAATTGCTTGAACCCAGGAGGCGGAGGTTGCAGTGAGCTGAGATTGTGCCACTGCACTCCAACCTGGTGCCTGGTGACAGAGCAAGACTCTCAAAAAAATAAATAAATAAATAAAATAAAATCAGCACTTTGGGAGGCCGAGGCGGGTGGATCACCTGAGGTCAGGAGTTCAGGACCAGCCTGGCCATCATGGTGAAACCCTGTCTTTAAAAAAAAAGAAAAAAGAAAAAAGAAAAATAAATTAATAAATAAAAGAAGGGTATCTCTTAAAATGTAAATAGACCGGCCAGGCGTGGTTGTGCATGCCTGTAATCCCAGCACTATGGGAGGCAGAGGTGGGAGGATTACTTGAGCTCAGACGTTTGAGACCAGCCTGGGAAACATGGAGAAACCCTGTCTCTACTAAAAATATAAAAATTAGGCCAAGCACGGTGGCTCATGCCTGTAAATCCCAGCACTTTGGAAGGCCAAGGCAGGTGGATCACCTGAGATCAGGAGTTCAAGACCAGTCTGGCCAACATGGTGAAACCCTAAAAACGCAAAAATTAGCTGGGTGTGGTGGCAGGCACCTGTAATCCCAGCTCCTCAGGAGGCTGAGGCAGGAGAATGGCTTGAACCTGGGAGATAGAGGTTGCAGTGAGCCGAGATCGCACCATTGCACTCCAGCCTGGGGAACAAGAGTGAAAGTTCGTCTCAAAATGATAATAATAATAATAATAATATATCTATATAAGTATAAATTTAAAATTATCTGGACATGATGGCTCATGCCTCTAATCCCAGCATTTTCGAGCCTGAGGCGGGCAGATCATTTGAGATTGGGAGTTCAAGACCAGTCTGGGCAACACAGCGAGACCTCTTCTCTACAAAAAGTAAAGAGGGAACCACAGTGCTCCAGCCTGGGAGTTAGCACACCTAGATCCTGCATGTGACTCTGACTCTCACCACACTGGGTGACCACAGGCCTGTTGGGGCCTCAGTTTCTGCATCTGTAAAATGCGAAATATGCATTTGTTATGAATCTCACAGGCCCGGTGGGAATTTGTCATTAAATAAAGGAGCAAGGGCTGGGCGCAGTGGCTCACGCCTGTAATCTCAGCACTTTGGGAGGCCAAATCGGGCAGATCACAAGGTCAAGAGATTGAGACCATCCTGGCCGACATGGTAAAACCCTGTCTTTACTATAAAAACAAAAATTAGCTGGGTGTGGTGGCAGGAGCCTGTAGTTCCAGCTACTTGGGAGGCTGAGGCAGGAAAATCACTTGAACCTGGGAGGTGGGGGTTGCACTGAGCTGAGATTATGCCACTGCACTCCAGCCTGGTGACAAAGTGAGACTCCATCTAAAAAATAAATGAATAAAGAAAGAAAAAAAGATGCAGGGTCACATCCGGGCAGAAAGTCCCCAGAAAATGTCAACATCTTCCCTACCCCTACTCTTCCCTGATTTTGCTTTTCTTCCTTTCTTTTGTTGGTTTTTAAGACAAGGTCTCCCTCTGTCACCCAGGCTGGCGTGCAGTGGTGCCATCATGGCTAACTACAACCTCAAACTCCTGAGCTCAAGCGGTCCTCGCACTTCAGCCTCCTGAGCCTTCAGCTGGGGCCACCCAGATAATTTTTGCATTTTTTTGCTAGAGACAGGGTCTCACTATGTTGGCCCAGGTTAGTCTCAAACTTCTGGGCTCAAGCGATCCTCCTGCCTCAGCCTTCCAAAGTGCTGGGACTACCGGCTTGAGCAACTGCACCCAACGACCTTTTCTCTTTTGCAGCGGCTGGTGGCTGTCTCTCCTGCTCAGAGATGCTCTGCTCCTTTAAGGCCCATCTAAACCCCCAAGATCGGGTGAGCTTCTGGGATCTCTTTGGGAAAGATACTATGCTGGAGGTATGCTGCCACCAAGTGGCGGTATCTCAGGCACCCTTTGAAAGTTTGAGAAAGTTTGGGGTGAAACTCGAGGGTGGTTATATAGGCCTCTGCACCTCCGGGGGGTTAGTTTCTCATGCCATCGCATCCCTCCTCCTCCCTGCCAGTCAGGCGCAACACCCCTCATGATAGCAGCTCAGATGTGTCACACAGACCTGTGCCGTCTCCTTCTGCAGCAAGGGGCTGCCGTGAACAACCAGGACCTGCAAGGCAGGTGAGCATCTCCCCTCCCAGCTCGTCCACCTTATGCTGTGTGACCTTGGGCTAGACTCTTAACCTCTCTGAGTAAGGCGATCTAGCCAGCCTCCTCTTCCCAGCTTGGCCTGGGTCCTGAGATGGGCCTGGGGGTTTGGGGGATGTTCTCATCTCCTCAGTAGCTCCCTCCTCTGGTAGGACGGCCCTGATGCTGGCCTGTGAAGGGGCCAGCCCGGAAACAGTGGAGGTCCTGCTGCAGGGCGGAGCTCAGCTGGGCATCACCGATGCGCTGGGGCAGGACGCGGCTCACTATGGTGCCCTGGCGGGGGACAAACTCATCCTGCACCTGCTGCAAGAGGCGGCCCAGCGCCCCTCCCCACCCAGAGGTATGCAAGCCCCGCCTCCCCGCTGCATCAGCTTGGCAGCTTCTCATCACCCCGCCCTTCTCTATTGCGGATAGTGTCAAGGTACCCCCAATTGGCTGCATTCTAGGAGGTCCCAGCACTTACCGGATTCTACTCAGAACAGTTTCAAGGAGCCCCAGGGCATTTAGTGTAGTCTGAGAGGGGGTCTGCTTCTGCTTTCCTGGGTCATCTATACAGAAAAAACTTTGCCTCTCTTAAGAAAGGCACCCCCTGCCGGTCAAGGTGGCTCATGCCTATAATCCCAGTACTCTGGGAGGCCAAGGTGGGCAAATCACTTTAGGCCAGGAGTTCAAGACCGGTTTGACCAAAATAGTGAAACCCTGTCTCCACTAAAAATACAAAAGTTAGCAGAGCATGGTTCAAGCAATTTTCCTGCCTCAGCCTCCCAACCTGCTGGGACACCAGGCGCCTGCCACCACACCTGGCTGATTTTGGCTTTTTTTTTTTTTTTTTTGAGACGGAGTTTCGCTCTTGTTACCCAGACTGGAGTGCAATGGCGCGATCTCGGCTCACTGCAACCTCCACCTCCTAGGTTCAGGCAATTCTCCTGCCTCAGCCTCCCGAGTAACTGGGATTACAGGCATGCGCCACCATGCCCAGCTGATTTTTTGTATTTTTAGTAGAGACAGGGCTTCACCATGTTGACCAGGATGGTCTCGATCTCTTGACCTCGTGATCCACCTGCCTCGGCCTCCCAAAGTGCTGGGATTACAGGTGTGAGCCACTGCGCCTGGCCGATTTTGGCATTTTTAGTGGAGTTTGGGTTTCACCATGTTGGCCAGGCTGTTCTTGAACTCCTGACCTCAGGTGATCCACCCACCTCGGCTTCCCCGAATGCTGGGATTACAGGTGTGAGCCACTGTACCTGGCCTGTCCTCTTTCTTTTTTTTAGATGGAGTCTTGCTTTGTCACCAGGCTGCAGTGCAGTGGCAATCTCAGCTCACTGCAACCTCCGCCTCCCAGGTTAAAGCAATTCTCCTGCCTCAGCCTCCCAAGTAGCTGGAACTACAGGCTCCTGCCACCACACCCAGCTAATTTTTGTTTTTATAGTAAAGACAGGGTTTTACCATGTTGGCCAGGATGGTCTCAATCTCTTGACCTTGTGATCTGCCCGATTTGGCCTCCCAAAGTGCTGAGATTACAGATGTGAGCCACTGTGCCCAGCCTGGTTTGTACTTTTAGTAGAGACGGGGTTTCACCATGCTGGTCAGGCTGATCTGGAACTCCTGACCTCAAGTGATCTGCCCACTTCAGCCTCCCAAAGTGCTGGGATTACAGGCGTAAGCCACGGTGCCCAGCTGTCCTCTCTTTTTAACAGTTCCAAGTCCCCCCTCAGCACTCTACCCAAGTGCCAGGTTTCTACCTTAAATGTCCCAATTCTTGGGGAAATCAGGAGCCTCCTACAAGTCCCTGGGGCCCACCAATGCCCTTCCTGGGGCTGGAAACAGAATGCCTGACCCTGCTTCCCTTTCTCCCCTGCCTTCCCAGAGGATGACTCAGGCGAGGCATCATCTCAGGTATGGACCCCTAAGCAGTGAAGGAGGCCCTCTTCCCTGCATCCACACTAACTTCTCCCCTGCCCCAAGCTCTGTGAGAAGAGAAGTTAGACCTGGGAAAACCAGTTTGGAAAGAATGCTGCCTTCAGGGTATGCTGCCACCAAGTGGCGGCAACATACCCAGCCTAACTCCTAGAACTGGGTGAGAATACTAGGGGGAGGGGACCAAATTGTGGGGCTGGGGTGGGAGGGCAGAGGGGACTGAGGTTGTTGAGGGTTGGTGTCTTCAGGGAAGGAAACAGATCTGGCCTCTTCCCTTCTTTCCGTTTTTGTTTGTTTTTATCTCTGTTGCCCAGGCTGGAGTGCAGTGGCAAGATCTCGGCTCACTGCAGTCTCCACCCTCTGAGTTCAAGTGATTCTCCTGCCTCACCCTCCCTAGTAGCTGGGATTACAGGCACCCACCACACCTGGCTAATTTTTGTATTTTTAGTAGAGATAGGGTTTCACCATGTTGGCCAGGCTGATCTCGAACTCCTGGCCTCAAGTGACCCACCCGCCCCAGCCTCCCAAAGTGCTGAGATTACAGGTGTGAGTCACCCACCTTGCCCCCTCCTAGTTTTAAAGCATCTCTGCTCCACAGAGGAGTGAAAACATGAGGGCACTGTGGTCTAGCTGGGGAAAGAACTGAGGCAGAGAGTGAAGAGTAAGATCGGGAACTTACAGTAAGGTGGTCTTGTCTGCGTTTATGCTGGGATAAGGAAGAGGGAGGAGGCAGGTACTGGGTCAGTGTTCACAGAAGTCAGGACACAGCTGGGCTGGCTGGGTTGGTTTATTGCAGGGGAGGCTGGCATGGCCCTCCGATCCACCCCCTTCACCCTCTCTCCCCTCCCTTCCCAGAATTCTATGTCCAGCCACGGAAAGCAGGGGGCCCCCAAGAAACGGAAGGCGCCTCCACCTCCCGCCAGCATCCCTGTGCCGGTGAGAGATGCTCTGGGCATGGGAGTAGGAGCGGGAAGCCCCCGGGCGTGGGGAGGAGCTCTGACTCAGACCTGGGATGGGGCAGCCCTAGGCCCTGTCTAAGACAGTGGGCGGGGAGGGGAGCAGGATGACCAAGATGCCTACGAGGAGATCGTGAGGCTTCGACAGGAGAGGGGCCGCCTCCTGCAGAAGATCCGGGGCCTGGAACAGCACAAGGAACGGAGGCAGCAGGAGGTTAGGAGGCCGAGGAGATTCGGGCATGGGGCCAAGCCTGGGTGGGGTGAATGCATGCAGGAAGATGCCCTTTACTTTCCGTCCTCCTTCCCTCCTCCCTCTCTCTCCCTCCCCACTCTGCTGCAGCCACCCGGGCCTCCTCGCTGTTCCTTAACTCCAGGTGTGGCCCTGCCCTGGGGCCTTTGCACGGGCTGTATCCTCTGCCTGGAATGCTGTTGCCTCAGATGTCCCCACAGCTCTTTACCCTCACCTACTTCATGTAATAGGCCTCTTGCCAAAGACACCTCCCGTACCCACTTTCTTTAAAACTGTAAACCCCTCCCCAACTCGCTAGTTCGCTTTATTTATTTGATTATACTTCTTTATATTTTGACATGGAGTTTCGCCCTTGTTGCCCAAGCTGGAATGCAATGGCATGATCTCAGCTCACTGCAACCTCCATCTCCCGGGTTCAAACGATTCTCCTGCCTCAGCCTCCCGAGTAGCTGGGATGAAGGGCTCGTACCACTATGCCCGGCTAATTTTTGTATTTTTAGTAGAGACGGGGTTTCACTACGTTGGTCAGGCTGGTCTCGAACTCCAGACCTTGTGATCCACCGACGTTGGCTTCCCAAAATGCTAGGATTAAAGGCGTGAGCCACCACACCTGGGTGTTTTGGGTTTTGTTTTTTGGGGTTTTTTCTTGAGACAGTCTTGCTCTTGTCGCCCAGGATGGAGTGCAATGGCGTGATCTCAGCTGACTGCAACCTCCGCTTCCCAGGTTCAAGGGAGTCTCCTGCCTCAGCCTCTCAAGTAGCTGGGATGACAGGAGCCCGCCACCGTGCCTGGCTAATTTTGTATTTTTAGTAGAGACGGGGTTTCACCACATTGGCCAGGCTGGTCTCAAACTCCTGACCTCAGGGGATCCACCCACCGTGGCCTCCTAAAGTGCTGGGAATACAGGTGTGAGCCCCCGTGACTGGCCTCTGTATTTCCATTTTCAGCACTTACTGCTCTTGGGCATGCATCTATTTTATGTGTGTCCCCGAATTTGACTGAGTCTGCCAGGGCAGGCATGGCTGATGGTGCCTGGGTCACAATGTGGGTGTCATCAATATTTATTGAGTGAATGTCTATTCAGGTGAGTGAATGAATGAATGTACAAATACATGAATGAATGGCCAAAACCAGGATCTTCCCCATAAGAGGCACTCAGTAGAAACTTTCTAGCTGGGTGTGGTGGCTCACACCTGTGATCCCAGCACTTTGAGAGGCCAAGGCGGGCAGATCACTTGAGGTCAGGAGTTCAAAACCAGCCTGGCCAACACGGTGAAACCCCGTCTCTACTAAAAATACAAAAAGAAATTAGCTGGGCGTGGTGGCAGGCACCTGTAATCCCAGCTACTTAGAAGGCTGGGCAGGAGAATTGCTTGAACCTGGGAGGCAGAGGTTGCAGTGAGCCAAGATCATGCCACTGCACTCCAGCCTGGGCAACAGAGCAAGACTCTGTCTCAGCAACAACAAAACAACAAACTTGTTGAATGAGTGAATGACTGAATGGAACAGTGCCTGGCATACAGCAGGTGATTAATAAGTACTTAGTAATGAATGACCAGAATGGTGCATACCAGCACACAGCAGGCACTCAATAAATACTTAGAAATGAATGACTGGTCAGAATGGTGCATGCTGACACACAGTAGGTGCTCAATAAATACTGAGCAAAAGGTCAGAACAATAGCTGGCACAAAATAGGCACTTAATAAATAGGAATGAATGGTGCCCAATACGTATATAGCAAGTGCTATATACTTAGTAAATACTTAGTAATGACTGAGCAGGCTGATTGGTGCCTGGTACACAGCAGGCACTCAATAAATAGTCATGAGTGAGCAGGTAGAATGCAGTACGTGCTCAATAGTTGCACATGGAGTGAGTGAATGTGCATGGAATGGAGGCTACGAAGCAGGAGGTGGGGCAGGGAGATCCCCTGCCCAGATCCAACCCCCTGTCCTTGCTTCTCCTGTCAGTCCCCGGAGGCCAGCTCCCTGCACAGCCTGGAGAGACAGGTAGGCTGGAAGGTGGGGCGGAGCCGGCCCTCCCGCTGCCCACCCTTTCCTTCCAGAGGCAGCTGAGTCTCCACTGCTGCTCCCAGGTGCAAGAACTGCAGCAGCTACTGGCAGAGAGACAGGAGGAGAAGGAGAGCCTGGGACGGGAGGTAGAGAGTTTGCAGAGCCGGCTGTCCCTGCTGGAGGTAGGAGCAGTGTCGGGGCTGGGCTGGGGCCGGGTGGGGAAGCTTCTCTCCTGCAGCAGCAAGACAGCCATATCAGTGCACACACAGCCTTACACACATGCAGACACGCCCACCAGATGTGTACTCACAAAGCCATGGTCACATGCACCCATGCACACTTACAAATGTGCAGACACAGAAAGGTCATGTCTTTCCCTCCTTCCTTTCCTTCCTTTCCTTCCTTTCCTCCCTTTTCTTTCTTTTTTTTCTCTCTCATTCTTTCTCTCTCCCTTCCTTCCTTCCCTTCCCCTCCTTCCCTCCCTCTTTCTCTTTCTCTTCTCTCTCTGTCTCTCTTTCTCTCTTTCTTTCTTTCTCTTTCCTCAGAGTGTCTCTCTGTCACCCAGGCCGGAGTGCAATGATATGATCTCAACTTACGGCAACCTCTGCCTTCCAGGTTCCAGCGATTCTCCTGCCTCTGCCTCCGAGTAGCTGGGACTACAAGTGCACGTCAATACATCTACCTAATTTTTGTATTTTTTCGGGGGCAGGGGATGGAGTTTCATTTTTTTTTTTTTTGTACTTTAGGTTCTGGGGTACATGTGCAGATCACGCAGGATTGTGACATAGGTACACACATGGCAATGTGGTTTGCTGCATTCATCCCCCTGTCACCTACATCTGGCATTTCTCCCCATGTTATCCCAGACTTTCACTCTTGTTGCCCAGGCTAGGGTGCAGTGATGCGATCTCAGCTTACTGCCACCTCTGCTCCACTGGTTCAAGCAATTCTCCTGCCTGCCTCAGCCTCCCCAGTAGCTGGGTTTATAGGCACGCACCACCATGCCCGGCTAATTTTTGTATTTTTTTTTTGAGACGGAGTTTCGCTCTTGTTACCCAGGCTATGTACAATGGCGCTATCTGGGCTCACTGCAACCTCTGCCTCCTGGGTTCAGGCAATTTTCCTGTCTCAGCCTCCTGAGTAGCTGGGATGACAGGCACGCCCCACCATGCCCAGCTAATTTTTTGTATTTTTAGTAGAGACGGGGTTTCACCACGTAGACCAGGATGGTCTCAATCTCTTGACCTCTTGATCCACCCGCCTGAGCCTCCCAAAGTGCTGGGATTACAGGCACGAGCCACCACGCCCGGCCCCAGAAAGGCCATTTCTCCAAGCACACGCGCACACGCAGGGATGGATGACCACTCTCCATGCACATGACGGAGCATGGGTAACAGCGAGCACACCACAGACACAGTTCACAGAGACGCAGGAAACACATGCGAGAATGTGTCATCGCACACACACACGCACTGCACGTGAGCCCTTCCCACGCACAGACAACGCACAGCCACACACACAGACAACACACCCACAAATGCATACGTGTGCAACAAGTTTTTCTTTTCCTTTTCTTTTTCTTTTTTTCTTTTTTGAGATAGGGTCTTGTTCTGTTGTCCAGGCTGGAGTGCAGTGGCACCATCGTGACTCACTCCAGCCTTGACTTTCCCGGACTTAAGTGATCCTCCCACCTCAGCCTTCTGAGTAGCTGGGACCACAGGTGTGTGCCACCACACCTGGCTACTTTTTTTTCTTTTTGGAGAGATGTGGTCTCACTACATTGCCCAGTCTGGTATCAAACTCCTGGCCTCAAGTGATCCTCCCACCTCCATTTCCCAAAGTGCTGGGATTACAGGTATAAGCCACTGTGCACCACCAGTATTTCTGAAAACACATAATTATGTAAACATATATACATATAGACAGTCATATACACAATCACACAAATCTACAGATGCATTGAAAACACAACCATTTCCACAGAAACTGGATAACCAGATTTTTAAAATAAAAAAAGAAAGAAAACACAACCACACACACACCAGACTACAACTCAAGCACAAGGCCAGGCACAGTGGCACACGCCTGTAATCCCAGCACTTTGGGAGCCCGAAGTGGGCAGATCATCTGAGGTCAAGAGTTCAAGACCAGCCTGGCCATCATGGGAAACCCAATCTCTACTAAAAATACAAAAAGTAGCCAGGTGTGGTGGTGGACGCCTGCAACCCTGCTACTTGGGAGGCTGAGGTAGGAGGATCCCTTGAACCCAGGAGTTGGAGACCAGTCTGGGCAATGTGGTGAGACCTCATCTCTGTGTAAAAAATAAAAATAAATAAAAAATTAAAATTTAGCCAGGTGTGATGTTGCACAACTGTAGTCCCAGCTGCTTGGGAGGCTGAGGTGGGAGGATCACTTGAGCCCAGGAGCTGGAGGCTGCCATAAGTTATGATCACACCACTGCATTCCAGCTTTGCTGACAGAGTAATACCCTGGCTCCAAAAAAACAAAAAACGGGGGTGGCAAAGGACATAGAAGGTGCTTACTGAGTCCTTGTGGGCCAAATGCAGCCGTCTGGTGCTCGTGGGGGACATACACATATGTGAACGGCCCAGTCCACACTTGTGTCTTGGTGGGGACACACAGGGGCTGAGAGCAGAACCCCGAGCTGGACTCTGCTCCCTACCCCCAGAATGAGCGGGAGAATACCAGCTATGACGTGGCCACCCTGCAGGATGAGGAGGGTGAGCTGCCTGACTTTCCAGGTGAGCCCCCACCTCCCCACACATTCCTGCCCACCTTATCCCTGGGGCCCTGGGAGACGAGGCCTGGACCTCTAGGTGTGGGGCAGTTTGAAGCTGGGGGGGAGGTTTGTACTTATCCATTCTTAAAATTCCACTTGCTGAGCCTGCCCTGGGGACCCTGATCCAACACTCTAGCCCTACAGCTCCTGTCTCCTGTGGCCTGGTCCCCTGGGGCCTGACTCTGTGTCCCCCTCCAGGGGCCGAGGCGCTGCTGTCCAGGCAGCTCAGCCCATCAGCCCAGGAACGCTTGGCCTCACTGCAGGAGCAGGTGGTTGCACTCACCAGACAGAACCAGGAACTGATGGAGAAGGTCCAGGTGGGGAAAGTGAGGCTGGGGACAGATCTGAGGGCCTGGGGCTGGTTCCCTGAGGTCAGGGTGGGCAGGGAAGGTGACAAGGCCACCCTGTATCCCCATGGTGACATCAACCCCTACTGGACTCTTGCCCCCCACCCCACTCCCCAGATCCTGGAGAACTTTGAAAAGGATGAGACACAGATGGAGGTGGAAGGTCCGGCTGAGGTCATCCCTCTTGCCCTCTACGACTCTCTCCGGGCCGAGTTTGACCAGCTTCGCAGGCAGCACGCTGAGGCCCTGCAGGCACTGAGGCAGCAGGAGACACTGAAGTTTCCCAGAGAAGAGGGGGCAGCCTGGGGGGAAAATGAGGGTGCTGGAGCCACAGCCACCAAAAACGGGCCAACCCACATGGAGCTAAATGGCTCAGTGGTTCCAGAAACCAAAGTTAATGGAGCTGAGACCACAGATGAGGAGGCTGCAGGAGATGAAACAATGGAAGCCAGGACTATGGAAGCTTCATCCACAGGCGCTGAGGACACGGGAGCTGAGGCCACAGAATCGAAACCCACGGGGGCTGAGGTCAGAGACATGGAGACCGTAGAAGAGGAATCAAATATAGAAACTGAGCCCACAGGAGCGGAGGCCACAGGCACAGAGGCCACGGGAGTGGTGACCACAAAAACAAAAGCAGAGGAAGCAGAAATGCCAGCCTACAAAGTGGGTGCTGGGCAAGCAGAGCCCCCAGTCACTGGGACCACAAACATGGAAGCCACCAGCTCTAGGGCCACAGGGATGGAGGCCACGGGAGTCCATACCCCAGGTGCGGAAAACACAGGGGTAGAGGCCACAGCCCCAGGAGTCTCTCCTGGACCCGTCTTACATCCTGGTGCCGCAGAGGCCTCGGAAAAGCTTCAAGTCGAGCTGGAGACCAGGATTCGCCGCCTGGAGGAGGCACTCCGGCAGCGGGAGCGAGAGGCAGCCGCTGAGCTGGAGGTGGCCCTCGGGAAGTGTGAGGCCGCGGAGGCCGAGGCGGGCCGGCTGCGAGAGCGTGTCCGTGAGGCGGAGGGCAGCGGGGCTGGCGGGGGCGGCGGCAGCGGCGTTGACACCGCACAGCTGCGGGCGGCCCTGGAACAGGCCCGGGAGGACCTCCGAGAGCGGGACTCCCGCCTGCGGGAGCTGGAGGCGGCCTCGGCCAGCCTGGATGAGGCTCGGGCCAGCCGGCTGCTGGCGGAGGAGGATGCCCGGGGCCTGCGGGCGGAGCTGGCGCAGCGGGAGGAGGTGCGGCTGGAGCAGAGCCGGGAGCTGGAGGTGCTGCGTGAGCAGCTGGCCACTGCCAGGGCCACGGGGGAGCAGCAGCGCTCGGCGGCCGCGGAGCTGGGCCGGGCCCGGGATGCGGCCGAGGCCCGGGTGGCTGAGCTGGCGTCAGCCTGCGAGGAGGCACGGCAGGGGCTGGCAGACCTGCGGGAGGCCTCCGAGGCCCTCCGCCAGTCCGTGGTGCCAGCCTCTGAGCACCGCCGGCTGCAGGAGGAAGCCCTGGAGCTGCGTGGCCGGGCAGCCAGTCTGGAGCAGGAGGTGGTGGCCACTGGCAAGGAGGCCGCCCGGCTGCGCGCAGAGCTGGAGCGTGAGCGTGTGTGCAGTGTGGCACTCTCGGAGCACGAGCGCATCGTGGGCGCCCTGCAGGCCAACGTGGCCCAGCTGGAGGGGCAGCTGGAGGAGCTGGGACGGCGGCATGAGAAGACCAGTGCCGAGGTCTTCCAGGTGAGGAGGGCCGGCCCCCACCACGCGCCCGCAGTAGCCTATTTTAGCCCCACAGCCCTCGGGTGTTTTGATCCCATCAGTCTTACTTGAACAGACTTTATTTTATCTTATTTTATGGAAAAAAAAAAAAAAAAAGACAGTTTTGAGACAGTCTTACTCTTTCACCCAGGCTGGAGTGCAGTGGTGCGATCTGAGCGCACTGCAACCTCCGTCTCCCGGGTTCAAGTGATTCTCCTGCCTCAGGCTCCCGAGTAGCTGGAATTACAGGCGCCTGCCTTCATGCCCAGCTAACTTTTGTATTTTTAATAGAGGTGGGATTTCACTATGTTGGTCTTGAACCCCTGACTTCAGATGATTCACCCTCCTTGGCCTCCCAAAGTGATGGGATTACAGGCATCAGCCACCATCCCTGGCCTTGAACAGACGTTTGACCCTGCAGCCATCCTGATCTCTTGAGATTTTACACTTGTGTTTTCTCTTTCTTTCTTTTTAAGAAAAATTTAAATCTTTGTTTTTTCTCCTGTGTTTTAAAGTACCTTGACCCATCTCTCTCTTTCTTAATTTCTTTTTTTCTCTTTCTTTCTCTTTCTTTCTTCCTTTATCTTTTTCTTCCCTCCCTCTCTCCCTCCGTTACTTCTTTCTTTTTCCCTGCCTTTCCCTTTCCTCCCTTCTCCTCCCATTTCCCCTTTCCCTTCCCCTTCCCTTCCTTTTCTTTCTTTTTGTTTTCACATAGGGTCTGGCTCTGTCACCCAGGCTGGAGTGTAGTGGCACAATCATAACTCACTGCAACCTCCACCTCCTGGGCTCAAGCATTCCTCCCATCTCAGCCTCCTAAATAGCTAGGACCACAGGTGTGCACCACCATGCCCGTCTAACTTTTTATTTTTTTGTAAAGACAGGGCATTGCCATGTTGCCTAGGCTGGTCTCAAACTCCTGAGCTCAAGTGATATGCCCGCCTCAGCCTCCCAAAGTGCTTGGATTACAAGTGTGAACCACTGTGCCCAACCTATGTTTTTTGTTTGTTTGTTTTTTGTTTTTGACACTCTTTGGCCCTTTTGACCCCATCTTTTTTTTTTTTTTTTTAATGACTATTGCTTCTCAGGGTCTGTTTATAAAACCTTTCTCCATCTCAAGGTCATGAAGATGTTCTTGTAGGTTTTATTCTAGCATCATTATTCTCTTAGTTTCACAATTACATCTGCAACTGGTCTGTAGCTTGTGTCTATGGTGTGAGGCCAGGGGTCAATGATCACAATGTTTTTGTAAGCAGTGAACTGGGTGTTTGTTTTCCCTGTTGTTTTTACCTAATGTTATTTTCTCTGGTGGTCATTTTGACCCTGCAGTTTTTTCTAGCTGATTATTTTGACCTTGTAAAAATCCTCTTATGATCATTTTTAGACTTTCGATCATTCTGCAAGGAGGATGTTATGAGTAGGGATATCTTTTCTTTTAGAGGTGGAGTATTGCTTTGTTACCCAGGCCAGAGTTTAGTGGCATGATCATAGCTCCCTGTAGCCTCAAACTCCTAGGCTCAAGTGATCCTCCCACCTCAGCCTCCCAAGTAGCTGAGACTACAGGCATGTGCCACCACATCCAACTAATTTTTTTTATCCTTATGACAGAGTTTTGCTCTTGTTGCCCAGGCTGGGAGTGGAATGGTGCAATCTTGGCTTATCGCAACCTCTGCCTCCAGGGTTCAAGCGATTCTCCTGCCTCAGCCTCCCGAATAGCTGGGATTACAGGTGTGTGCCACCATGCCCAGCTAATTTTTTGTATTTTTAGTAGAGACAGAGTTTCACTATGTTGGCCAGGCTGGTCTCAAACCCCTGACCTCAGGTGATCCACCCGCCTTGGCCTCCCAAAGTGCTGGGATTACAGGCATGAGCCACTGTACCTGGCTTCCAACTAATTTTTTAACTTTTAGTTTGTAGAGGTGGAGTCTTGCTCTGTTGCCCAGGCTGGCTGGTTTCAAAGTCCTGGCTTTAAACAGTCTCCCACCTTGAACTCCCAAAGTGTTGGGATTACAGGTGTGGGCCACTGCACGCCCACTGAGCAGAGATTTTGGATCTCATTTTGTTTATTTGATTTTTATTTATTTATTTTTAGAGATGGGGGGTCTCACTTTCTTACTCAGGCTGGAGTGTGAGTTGCTGAAATTACAGGAGCCAGCCACCACCTCTGATTTAAGATTTTTTTTTTTTTTTTTTTTTTTTTTTTTTTTTTTGAGATGGAGTCTCACTGTGTTGCCAGGCTGGAGTGCAGTGATACAATCTCGGCTCACTGCAACTTCTGCCTCCTGGGTTCAAGTGATTCTCCTGCCTCAGCCTCCCGAGTAGCTGGGACTACAGGTGTGCACCACCACTCCCAGCTAATTTTTGTATTTTTAGTAGAGATGGGGTTTCAACATATTGGCCAGGGTGGTCTCGATATCCTGACCTCAAGTGATCTGCCCGCTTCAGCCTCCCAAAGTGCTGGGATTACAGGCATGAGCCACTGTGCCTGGCCTACGTCTGATTTAATTTCACAAGGTCCCTCATCAGTGTTAAAAAATATTCCCTGGGGTAAGAAAACAAAAATAAGGCCAGATGCAGGGACTCAAACCTGTAATTCCAGCCCTCTGGGAAGCCATGGCCATCATGGCGAAACCCCATCTCTACTAAAAATACAAAAAATTAGCTGAGTGTGGTGGCACACACCTCAAATTCCAGCTACTCAAGAGGCTAAGGCAGGAGATTGACTTGAACCTGGGAGGCGGAGGTTGCAGTGAGCCGAGATGATGTCATGGAACTGCAGCCTGGCAACAGAGTGAGACTCCACTTCAAAACAAAGGAAAACCAAAACCAAAACCACAGCATCAGAGTCCACTAGATTAAAAAGAATGAAATCAGGCGAGGTGCAGTGGTTCACAGCTGTAATCCCAGCAATTTGAGAAGCCAAGGTGGGCAGATCACATCAGCCGAGGAGTTCGAAACCAGCATGGGCAACGTGGCCAAACCTCATCTCTACCAAAAATGCAAGAAAATGGGCCAGGCATGGTGGCTCATGCCTGTAATCCCAGCACTTTGGGAGGCTTAGGCAGACAGATCACCTGAGGTTAGGAGTTCAAGACCAGCCTGGCCAACATGGGGAAAACCCATCTCTACTAAAAATACAAAAATTAGACAGACATCATGCACATGCCTGTACTCCCACTTACTAAGGAGGCTGAGGCAGGAGAATCGCTTGAACCCAGGAAGAGGAGGTTGCAATGAGTCAAGACTGTGCCACTGCTTCCAGCCTGGGCAACAGAGCGAGACTCAGTCTGACAAAAAAAAAAAAAAAAAGAAAAGAAGAAAAGAAAACATTAGCCGGGCATGCATCTGTGGTCCCAGCTACTTGGGAGGCTGAGGTGGGAGGATCATTTGAGTCTGGGAGGTTGAGGCTGCAGTGAGCCATCACATCAGAACAACAGAACAAGACCCTGCCTTAAAAAAAAAAAAAAAAAAAAAAATCCAAAATCAAAAGAACAAAGTAGAAGGGTCATAAGCATTCTGGGATCCAGCATCGTTGGGTGTCCTGAGAGTCACACGGGGGCTTGGGCCACAGGTGCAGCGTGAGGCCCTGTTCATGAAGAGCGAGCGACATGCGGCTGAGGCGCAGCTGGCCACAGCAGAGCAGCAGCTACGGGGGCTGCGAGCCGAGGCAGAAAGAGCACGCCAGGCCCAGAGCCGGGCCCAGGAGGCCCTGGACAAGGCCAAGGAGAAGGACAAGAAGGTGGGTGCCCCCTCTCCCACACTTAGTCCGGGAGACGTCCACTCAGCCAAGGTTGGGGGCAATCTGCAAAGGTCCCCGCTGCAAGGGTGTTGCGAAATCAGCCCATTTTCCAGAAGGGAAAGTGAAGCTTAGAAACAAAAGGGGACCTGGTTTCAGCAACTGACAAATCAGACACACACAGGCTGCTGTTCCAGCTACTAATTATAACCAGTGACCTTTATTTGTTTATTTGAGACAGATTCTCATTCTGTCACCGAAGCTGGAGTGCAGTGGCGCGATCTCAGGTCACTGCAACCTCTGGGTTCAAGTCATTCTGCTGCCTCAGACTCCCAAGTGGGTGGGAATACCGGCACGCGCCACCATGCCCAGCTAATTTTTTTTAATTTTTTTAATTTATTTTTATTTTTATTTTTTTTTTTGAGACGGAGTTTCGCTCTTGTTACCCAGGCTGGAGTGCAATGGCGCAATCTCAGCTCACCGCAACCTCCGCCTCCTGGGTTCAGGCAATTCTCCTGCCTCAGCCTCCTGAGTAGCTGGGATTACAGGCATGCACCATCATGCCCAGCTAACTTTTTGTATTTTTAGTAGAGATGGGGTTTCACCATGTTGACCAGGATGGTCTCGATCTCTCGACCTCGTGATCCACCCGCCTCAGCCTCCCAAAGTGCCGGGATTACAGGCGTGAGCCTCTGCGCCTGGCCAATTTTTTATATTTTTAGTAGACATGGGGTTTCACCGTGTTGGACAGGCTGGTCTCAAACTCCTGACCTCAAGTGATCCAACCACCTCCGCCTCCCAAAGGGCTGGGATTACAGGTGTGAGCCACCACATCCATCCCCACAGTTACATTTGTTGAGTGCTTACTGCATGCCAGGCCCTGTGGACTTGATGCATTTAATCACATTAAGATCTCATTATATAGGTGCTTTTATTATCTCCATTCGAGGAAACTTAGGCACAGAGCGGTGAAGTCACTTGCCCAAGGTCACACAGCCATGCAGTCTTTCAGCTGGATTTGTACCCAAGTTCCCACATTTTGTTCCTAAATAATGCTAATGATGATAACAGCAGTCTCCAGTTGTTAGATTGGGGCTTTTTCAGACATTACCATTTTTAATCATCTTCCTGCAACCCTAAAAGCCAGAAAGCTTTTTTTTTAGATGGAATCTCACTCTTGTTGCCCAGGCTGGAGTGCAAGGGCATGATCTCAGCTCCTGCCACCTCTACCTCCCCCATAGTTGGGGTTACAAGCATGGGCCACCATGCCTGGCTAATTTTGTATTTTTAGTAGAGACGGTGGTGGGTGGAGGTTACTCCATGTTGGCCAGGCTGGTCTTGAACTCCTGAATTCGTGATTCCCCCACCTTGGCCTCCCAAAGTGCTAGGATTACAGGTGTGAGCCACTGCACCTAGCTGCTCTTTTTTTTTTTTTTTTTTTTTTGAGATAGTGTCTCTGTCACCCAGGCTGGAGTGCAGTGGCATGATCTCGGCTCACTGCAACCTCGCCTCCCGGGTTCAAGTGATTCTTCTGCCTCAGCCTCCCAAGTAGCTGGGATTACAGGAGTGTACCATCATGCCCTGCTAATTTTTATATTTTTAGTAAAAACGGGGTTTCATCATGTTGGTCAGGGTGGTCTCGAACTCCCAACCTGAGGTGATTCGATCTCCCAAAGTGCTGGAATTACAGGCGTCAGCCATCACACCTAGTCTGTTTTTTGTTTGTTTGTTTTCATTTTTGTTTCTAAGAGATAGGGTTTCATCATGTTGCCCAGGTTGGTCTCAAACTCCCAAGCTCAAGCGATCTGCCTGCCTCAGCCTCAAAATACTAGGAAGACAGGTGTGAGCCACCACACCTGGTTTCAGAAAGTATTTTCGTCCCCATTTTCCAGATGAGCAAACTGAAGCTTTAAGAGATGTGGCGACTCACGCCTGTAATCCCAGCGCTTTGGTAGGCTGAGGTGGGTGCATCACCTGAGGTCGGGAGTTCAAGACCAGCCTGACCAACATGAAGAAACCCCGTCTCTATTTAAAAAAATAAAAAGAAAAAAAAAGAAAACAGGCTGTGGGCCAGGCATGACCCTCGGGCCAGAGTTTGCTAACCCCAGGGATGGGATCTTCCCTCGAAAGTGTTCCTCCCTGGCCTCTTCCTGCAGCTTGAGAGAGGTCCCCAGCCCCCAGCCCTGGGCTGAGGGTGACCGCTGACAACCCCCCCACCCTCAGATCACAGAACTCTCCAAAGAAGTCTTCAGTCTTAAGGAGGCCTTGAAGGAGCAGCCAGCCGCCCTGGCCACCCCCGAGGTGGAGGCTCTTCGTGACCAGGTGAAGGGTTTACAGCAGCAGCTGCAGGTAAGGGCTGGGCTGGGCAGGGGGTAGAGGACCATCAGGGTAGAGGAGTCCAGATAAACATTTACCAACCAGCTTGGCACAGGTGGGAATCCCAAGAGGGGGCTGGGGTAAGCAGGTGGGGCACACGTCACGTGCTCAGTGTGGCCAGGAAATATTTCCTTTATTTTATTTTATTTTATTTTATTTTATTTTATTTTTGAGACGGAGTTTCACTCTTGTTACCCAGGCTGGAGTGCAATGGCGCAATCTCGGCTCACTACAGCCTCCGCCTCCTGGGTTCAGGCGATTCTCCTGCCTCAGCCTCCTGAGTAGCTGGGATTACAGGCACGCGCCACCATGCCCAGCTAGTTTTTTGTATTTTTAGTAGAGACGGGGTTTCACCATGTTGACCAGGATGGCCTCGATCTCTTGACCTCGTGATCCACCCGCCTCGGCCTCCCAAAGTGCTGGGATTACAGGCTTGAGCCACCGCGCCCGGCCTTTCCTTTATTTTTTTTGAGACAGGGTCTCACTCCCTCACCCAGGCTGGAGTGCAGTGGGAAGATCTTGGCTCACTGCAGTCCCCAGCTACTCAGGAACGGTGGGGACGGTAGGGTGCACTCAGGCATGAGCCATCTTGCCTGGGAAATTACTGTATTTTTAGTAAATACGGGGTTTCACCACGTCCAGGCTGGTCTCGAACTCCTGACATCAGGTGATCCACTTGCCTCAGCCTCCCAAAGTGCTGGGATTACAAATATGTGCTACTGTGCCCAGCCATACTTCCATATTTTAGCAGCCGGCTGCTGCCTGGTATATGCCATCAAAATACAGGCTTGGGGTACAAAGGGCGCTTTTTGGTGTGTTTTCCTCAGCAAGGAGGTGGTCCTCCTTTTCTGAGCACCCCTCCCTCACACCCACAGGAAGCTGCCAGGGACCACTCCAGCGTGGTGGCTTTGTACAGAAGCCACCTCCTGTACGCCATTCAGGTGAGTGGCCTAGCTCTCAGGTGCCTGGGTGGCTTTGGGTGTGCCACTGTTGCTCTCTCGGCCTCAGTTTCCCCTTCTGTACAGTGGGAGGCTGGTCCTGGGGAGAGGTTCATGGCATGTTGGAGCCTGCCTCTGTGCATTTCCCTCCTGGCTGGCTTGGTCTGTGGGAGTGGTGGAGGGGCCTGAGGAAGCTGCTGGGGGTGCACTCAGGGTCTCCCTCTATTCCCCGCATCCTAGGGCCAGATGGATGAAGACGTGCAGCAGATTCTCAGCCAGATTCTGCAGATGCAGAGACTCCAGGCTCAGGGCCGCTGAGAAAGGCCGGGCCCAGTGGCCACACTGACCACACCCATGCAGGGACCTCACCCCCCACTGCAGTCCCCTTGCAGACCAGCTTCACTTGGTTTCACCCGGCCCCATCGAGGCCCATGCACTTGGAGGCCAGCCTGGATCCCCGCTCCACCATCCCCAGCTGGCTCCGTCACCCCACCTGGTCTCTGCACGCACGCACTGGTCAGTCTGGACCCAGGGCGTGACTGCCCCTCCTCTTCCACCAGATAATCTGTGAGTCCCTGTGTCCTCCACATCCAGATGCCAGCCCGGGAATAAAGGCATTCTTTGCACAGGACCAAGGTGTGTGGTGTGGTTGCTGGGCTTCTGCTGCTGGGAGTGGAATGGTCGCCCAGAAAATGAAGCACTCATGCCCCCTCCCTCTGCCCCATCCAGCAAATCAGCATTCGAGATAAACTCAATCTTTTTTTTTTTTTTTTTAAATGTGGAGTCTTTTTTTTTTTTTTTTTTTTTTTGAGACGGAGTTTCACTCTTGTTACCCAGGCTGGAGTGCAATGGCGCGATCTTGGCTCACTGCAACCTCCGCCTCCTGGGTTCAAGCAATTCTCCTGCCTCAGCCTCCTGAGTAGCTGGGATTACAAGCACGTGCCACCATGCTCAGCTAATTTTTTGTATTTTTAGTAGAGATGGGGTTTCACCATGATGACCAGGATGGTCTTGATCTCTCGACCTCGTGATCTACCCGCCTCGGCCTCCCAAAGTGCTGGGATTACAGGCTTGAGCCACCGCGCCCGGCCTAATGTGGAGTCTTGCTCTGTCACCCAGGCTGGAGTGCAGTGGTACAATCTTGGCTCACTACAACCTCTGCCACCCGGGTTCCTGTGATTCTCCCACCCCAGCCTCCCAAGTAGCTGGGACTTACAGGTGACCAGCACCATGCCTGGCTAATTTTTTTTTTTTTTTTTTTGAGATGGAGTTTTGCTCTTGTTGCCCAGGTTAGAGTTCAGTGACTAGATGGCTCACTGCAGCCTCCGCCTCCCTGGCTCACTGCCTCAGCCTCCCAAGTAGCTGGAATTATAGGCGCCTGCCACCATGCCTGGCTAATTTTTTTGCATTTTTAGTAGAGATGTTGGCCAGGCTGGTCTCGAACTCCTGGCCTCAGGTGATCTGCGTGCCTCAGCCTCCCAAAATGCTGGGATGACAGGCGTGAGCCACATCACTCAGCCTTTATTTCTTTTTCTTTTTTCTTATTTTTGAGACAGAGTTTCACTTTTTTCCATAGGCTGGAGTGCAATGGCACAATCTCGGCTCACTGCAACCTCTGCTCCCAGTTTCAGATGATTCTGCTGCCTCAGCCTCACGAGTAGCTGGAATTACAGGCATGTACCACCATGCTTGGCTCATTTTTGTATTTTTAGTAGAGACAGGGTTTTAACCATGTTGGCCAGATGGTCTCTAACTGCTGACTTCAGGTGATCCACCCACCTCGGCCTCCCAAAGGGCTGGGATTACAGGCGTGAGCCACTGTGCCCAGCCTTTGGATAAACTCCATCTTAATGCAACATTTCAAAAAGGCAAAATGGGTGCAAAAAAGAGCATGATGAACTAAATATGGAAATGTTAAAGAAAGGCAGGATTGACTGGATATGGTGGCTCACCCCTGTAACCCCAACATTTTGGGAGGCCAAGGTGGGAGGATCGCTTGAGCCCAAGAGTTGAAGACCAGCCTGGGCAACATGGAGAAACCCCATCTCTACCAAAAATACAGAAATTAGCTGGGCATGGTGGCACGCACCTGTGGTCCCAGCTACTCAAGAGGCTGAGGAGGGAGGATCACTTGAGCCCTGCAGTTAGAGGCTGCAGTAAGTCATGATCGCACCACTGCACTCCAGCCTGGGCGATGGCGCACAAGACCCTGCCTCTAAAAAAGGAAAAAAAAAGAAAGACACTTTCCTAAATCCTAAACCTGGCCATGGTGGGAGGCCCCTGCCTCCAGCCTCTCCCTGCCCCTTGGCAAATCCCCCAAAATCCCCATGGGTTTCTTGGCATTTCTTAGCAAATGAAGGGGAGGTGGGAGTGGGAGTGGGGATCCCCGAGCTTGTCCAGCCTGCCTCTGGGGGTTTCCTTGCTCCCAGGCATCCCGATGGCTGGGACATGTGCGGTGGCAGCTGCCTCCCCAGGCCTGCGCGCCTGTGTCTGTCTGTCTCTTTCCATGTCTCTGTCTCTTTTCCTTCTCTCTCCCTGTCTCTATCTCCTGGTCTCCATCTCTGTCTCCCTTGCTGTTTTTGTCTCTCTGTCTCCCTTTATCTCTGTTTGTGCCTTCCTCCTCTCTCACCTCTGTCTCTGTGTCTCTTTTTTGCTCCATCTCTGTCTATCTTCTCTATCTGTCTTCTCTTATCTCTCTGTGTCTCTGATCTCCCTGTATCTCTCTGTCTTCCTCTCTTGTTTTTGTCTTTCTGTGTGTCTCTCTTTCTCTGTCTCTGTCATCTCCCCATCTGTCTTTTTTTTTTTTTTTTTTTTTTTGAGACAGTCTCACCTTATCACCCAGGCTGGAGCGCAATGGCATGATCTTAGCTTACAGCAACCTTTGCCTCCCAGGGTCATGCAATTCTCTTGCCTCAGCCCCAGTCACCTGCCACCACGCCCAGCTAATATTTGAATTTTTTTTTTTTTTTTTTTTTTTTTTTTTTTTTTTTTTTTTTTTTTTTGAGACGGAGTTTCGCTCTTGTTAACCCAGGCTGGAGTGCAATGGCACGATCTTGGCTCACCGCAACCTCCGCCTCCTGGGTTCAGGCAATTCTCCTGCCTCAGCCTCCTGAGTAGCTGGGATTACAGGCACACGCCACCATGCCCAGCTAATTTTTTGTATTTTTTTTTAGTAGAGACGGGGTTTCACCATGTTGACCAGGCTGGTCTCGATCTCTTGACCTCGTGATCCACCCGCCTCGGCCTCCCAAAGTGCTGGGATTACAGGCTTGAGCCACCGCGCCCGGCCCATATTTGAATTTTTAGTAGCAAAGATGATTCACCGTGTTGGCCAGGAGGGTCTCTAACTCCTGACCTCAGGTGATCCGCTTTGGCCTCCCAAAGTGCTGGGATTATAGGCATGAGCCCCTGCACCCTGCTGTCTCTCTATCTCTGTCTATCCTCCTCTCTCATCTCTGTCTCTCTCATCCTCCCATCTCTGTCTCACTTTCTCTGTCTTCCTCTCTTATCTCGGTTCCTCTGTCTTTATTCCTCTGTCCCTCTCTCTCTGTGTCTCTCTCTGTCTCTGCTTCCATCATCTCCCTGTCTCTCTCTGTGTCCTCCTCCTCTCATTTCTGTCTCTCTGCCTCTCTTATCTCTGTCTCTCTATGTGTCTCTGTCTGTTGTCTCCCTGTCTCTATCATCTCCCTGCCTCTCTGCGTCCTCCTCCTCTCATCTGTGTCTCTGCCTGTCTCATCTGTATCTCCCTCTGTCTCTGTCATCTCCCTGTCTATGTATCTCTATATTCTCTCCTCTCTGCCTCCCTCCTCTCTCTGTGTGTCTCTCTCTCCTGTCTTCGCCTCTGTCTCCCTCCACGCCCCCGAGCCCCTGCCTGCCTGCCTGGGGTTTCCCCTTTCCTGCCCGTCAGGGCAGCGGAAGGAAGGCAGGCAGGACTTGCTGTGCTGGGAAAAGCCAGCAGGTCTCCACTTCTCCCTTTCGCAGCCTCCTTCCCTGCCCCCACCCTCGGGGCCTTCCGCACAGGGGTGGCCTGCATTCCCCAGGGGGCTGGGGCTGGGGCTCCCCCGCATCCTAACTCATCTCCCTAGCAGCCCTACGTGCCCTGCCAGTGAGTCAGATGGAAGGAAGGCGAAGGGGGGCCTTGACTCTGGGCTGGGCTTCCCCGGGGCACGTCCCAAGCCCTCGCCTCCCCTCTCAAGTCTCCCAGGACGTCGCCACCCCAGCTGCTGAGAGCAGAGCTGGCCGCAGTCATGACCCCACCGCTTCTCCTGGCCCTTGTGCTCTGGGCCAGCTGCCCATCCTGCAGTGGAAGGGAAGGTATGTCATCCCTGGAGGGCTGGCGGGGGGGCCCCCACAGAGGGACATGATCTTGGATGGTGTCTGGAGTGGGAACTCACACACCTCCTGTGTGCCCACTGGTGGGATGGGGTTACGCGCCCATTGTACAGATGGGGAAACTGAGGCACAGGGAGGAAGAGTGCCACATTGTGGGTGGAAGAATGTCACCTTGTGGGTGACAGGGACTGGCAGTCACAGCTTAAAGATATCTCTACACCTAGGTAGACGTAGATGGGCATTCGGGTCACACTCATTCATTTTGCTTCTTTTTGTTTTTGTTTTTGTGTTTTGAGACAGTCTCGCTCTTTTGCCCAGGCGGGAGTGCAAGTGGCATGATCTCAGCTCACTGCAACCTCTGCCTCCTGGGTTCAAGCAAGATTCTCCTGCCTCAGCCTCCCAAGTAGCTGGGATTACAGGCACCCACCACGACGCCTGGCTAATTTTTGTATTTTTAGTAGAGATGGGAGATTCACCATGTTGGCCAGGCTGGTCTTGAACTCCTGACCACAGGTGGTCCACCTGCCTCAGCTTTCCAAAGTGCTGGGATTATAGGCATGAGACACTGAGCCCGGCTGACACCCATTCATTTTGGACTAGAGAACATTTCCATGTCCTTGAAGACAAAATGGTTACAGCAGGGCATGGTGGCTCACGCCTGTAATTCCAGCACTTTGGGAGGCCAAGGCATGAGGATTGCTTGAGGCCTGAAATTTGAGACCAGCCTGGGCAATACAGTGAGACTTGCTCCCCCAATCTGTACAAAAAATTTAAAAATTGGGCCTGGCATGGTGGCTCACACCTGTAATCCCTGCACTTTGGGAGGCTGAGGCAGGTGGATCACCTGAGGTCAGGAGTTCGAGACCAGCCTAGCCAATATGGTAAAACCCATCTCTACTAAAAATACAAAAAATTAGCTGGTTATGGTGGCAGGCACCTGTAATCCCAGCTACTTGGGAGGCTGAGACAGGAGAATCACTTGAACCCAGGAGGCGGAGGTTTCAGTGAGCCGAGATAACACCATTATACTCCAGCATAAGAAACAGGAGTGAGCCGGGCGCGGTGGCTCAAGCCTGTAATCCCAGCACTTTGGGAGGCCAAGGCGGGTGGATCACAAGGTCAAGAGATCGAGACCATCCTGGTCAACATAGTGAAACCCCGTCTCTACTAAAAATACAAAAAAAATAGCTGGGCATGGTGGTGCGTGCCTGTAATCCCAGCTACTCAGGAGGCTGAGGCAGGAGAATTGCCTGAACCCAGGAGGCGGAGGTTGCGGTGAGCCGAGATCGCGCCATTGC